ACTATATGGTCAATTGTTCTTCAAGGAAAACATCTTCTTGATAGTACTGATGAAAAATCAAGATTTAACTATGAGACTCCTTGTTTAGAAACATGTGTGTGTCAATCATCTGAAGAAAATGATTTAGATGATGTGCATGTTATTCATCGTGATCATGAAGAGGACATATGGGAAAACTAGTAAATAAATGGTTTATTTCATTTTTTTTCTTAATCATTTGTTTTAGTTTCGATATAAAATTATAAAATGTGTGTCATTTTGGATTTGCATTTTGGTGCAATCAATGAATATTTATGTTTCAGATTGAGGAATTAAAAAAATGTAAAGTGTATTTGTTTCAGGAATATGCAAAATATGGTTCGATATTCTGTAATATGGTTATGTAATTCAGGTGCAGACGACAGTAGAAAAAATTAAATCTTAACCCCTCGGTTTCCATAATAAACCGAGGTAAGAATATTGATATATTACCTCGATTCTTTAAAACGCCGAGTGCTAATATGGGGCGCGCCGTTCAGTTCTGAAAATGATAAAAATGATGATGCTGGGAATCGAACCCACTTGCAATTAACTTGACCCCTCAGTGTTTTAATATCCGAGGTGATGAGGAGTAACCTTTTATGACGATCTTATTTACCTTGTTTTTATTACTGACATCAAACGCATTTCACGTCAGACGTTAGATGTGTTTTTTGTAGTAGTGCTAAGAATGTTGTTTCCACCTTTAGGCCTATGGAACTCTTGCATATTGATCTATTAGGGCTAGTGAAAACACCTCAGTAAATGGAAAGAAGTGTGGATTAGTCATTGTAGATGACTAAAATAGATGGACATGAGTAAATTTCTTAAGACACAAGGATGAGTCACATTTTGTGTTTACTACCTTCTGTTTGCAAGTGTAAAATGAAAAAAAGGTTTAACAATTATTAAAGTCAAAAGTGATCATAGTGGTGAATTTAAAAATAAATAATTTGTAGAACTTTTTGAAGATAACGGCATCTCTCATGATTTCTCTTATCCTATAACTCCTCAATAGAATGGAGTTGTAGAGAGGAAAAATCGTACTTTGCAAGAAATGGCTAGAACCATGACCAGTGAGACAAACATTGCAAAGCACTTTTGGGCAGAAGCAGTAAATAATGCATGTTACATTCAAAACAGGATCTCTATAAAATATATTATAGACAAGACTTCTTATGAATTGTGAAAGAACAGAAAGCCCGATATTTCTTATTTTCATTCATTTTGTTGTACTTGTTTTATGTTTAATACTAAAGACAACTTAAACAAGTTTGATTCTAAAGCTCAAAAGTGTATCCTATTAGGATACTCTAAATGCTCAAAAGGCTACAAAGTATATAACACTGAAATCAAAATTGTTTAGGAATTAATCCATCTTAAGTTTAATGATAAGCTTGACTCTGAAAAGTCAAAGCAAGTCGCAAAGTTTACGGATCTAGAAATTATCTATTCAAACTCTGAAGACAAGGAATATGAGGATAAAGACTCTGAAGTGCTCAACATGAAACTGAACAATCCACACCAAAAGTTGCTAACATACCAACACCCTAGAGGAAGTACAAGCAAAGATCCTCTCGTGCTGAAGGAATGATTATGGTGACAAGACATAACCTATAAGAACTAGATTCTCATTTAGACAAGATGAAGAGGAGAATTAGAAGAAAAAAATAGCATGTGTTGATTTATCTCTTCCCCAGAATTCGAGTAAGTTTATCCTTGCTAAGAGTCTTGCTACATCAAGTTCTGGCTGGTAATACTTCATACGTTCCTGAAATTTTGATAGGTCAGAACTCAGGTGTCCTAAAAGATGTCGAGACATAGGTTCTAACAGAAGCAACATGGCAAGCCATACAACAGTAAAAACAGATACTGAAAAATAATAAATAACACACAAACTTTTTAACCCAGTTTGGTGCAAACCAACACCTACTCTGGGAGCTACCAAGTCAAGAAGAAGATTCTACTATCCATAGTATTATTTTATGTAAACAACCTCCAGTTTACAGGTAAACAATATCTGATTTACCTAATCACTACCCAATGCAATATTTATCTTAAAACACCATCTAAGATAAGAGAACCTTTGCTCACTCCCTAACTGTTACAACCTCTGGTAACAACATCAAACTACTTGAAGGACACCTCTTCAAATACCAAGTACAGTCAAGACTCTTGACATACATACTTAGAGTTGCTTAAAAGCTTCCTCCAAGAACAATACTCTCTCTTGCTTCACAACTTCGAGGAGAAAAATTATAGAGATTACAACTCTATAACACAGTCTAACTCACACCCTGAGTGGATCACACATAACAACTCTCCTAGAGAGTGGTACACAAATTTAGTCCTAATAATATGAAAGTTACATTTTCGACCGGTGCCTTTCCGAAGTTACAATGCTTCTATTTATAACCTATTTCCCAACTGGACTTGGGCTTCAAAGCCGCAACAAGGAGGCTGCACAAAGTCTGCAAAATCTTCTTAAAAAAAATAGGTCTTCAATCATAACTTTCCTAAAATGTCTACATATTTATAAAGTTTGAATATCTTGAAAAACCAACATAATATCTCTGATTTATCAATCTTAGACGCCACATAAGATTACTAAATATTCCCAAAATATTCAGTAATTAAATCACAATAATTGAATCCAAACGATCAGTTGTAGCAGACCTGATATCCTATATTTCTCGTTAGGACATCTCATTCGACATGTTCAAACAACAAGTTGAAACTTCTTCCAAACTACAAAACTGTAACAGACTAGATGTCTAATACTTCTGATTAGGACATCACATTAGACATGTTGAATCTTCAAGTTGAAACATATTGTTCAACATGTTGCTGCGAAGTTAGTTTTACTAAAATTTATGTCAATCATAATTCCAGAGAAATAACAGTTCTCCTTTCCACTACTGTTCCCACTTAATCTCTCTTCATTTTTAAAAAATTTGGCACCATTTCCAAACCACCTCATAAAGAACCTAACAAACTAACTCCCAGAACACCATCACCCTCACCATCTGACCAAACATAACCCAATAATCAAACTCTTTATGAGACATCCCTTGTACACAATTCGTCACCTCCTCCCCCAACAAACCAATCCCTCATCTCAAACTAACTCTGCAACTTTCACTCAACATTTGCAAAGTAACGTGTTCAGAACATTCACAACTAAACATCTTTGTCTCCTTCCTCTAGAAATTACTACACCCTCACCTCCCTCACCTGACTCGAACTTGAACCTAATGAGACCTTTATATACTCTTACATTCCTTTCTCTAATGGCCAGTAACCTATTTCTGACCAAGCATTTCTCCAAAATAACATTTATGAGAATGTTCCACTTCTTTGATGAAGCATTGGTAGAAGTTGAAGCATAGGTAATATAAAGTCTTCACTTTATGAAGCAGGTTGTCTGAGTGTGTAAATTCTGCTGAGAGTGATACATTATGGCACCAATGCAGACACTAGAGAGTCTATTACACCAAGTTCATCAAAGAACTATCTTATGGCGTGGTTCTCAAGAATTTCTAGCTATATTCTCTACAATTGTGATTTCTATGCTGAAATTCTTAAAAGATTGTACTACTAACAGATCTCTACAATTCACGGCTCAACCTCGTACCACAATAACAGCTATGAAATTGATGAAGTTTCAATCCCATGCACCAATGGTACTATTCATCATCTTCTAATTTCGTCTTCTAACGGTACTATTCATCATCTTCTAATGATACTATTCATCATATATTTAAAGAGGACATGTAATTTTGAAGAAATAGAGAATTATGGGTGAAACAAAAAGGAACGGAAAAAAAAAGAATGAGAAAAAGAAGAGAAACAACAATTACAACACTAACTACACTTAGAGCTAAATATTATATATTTTTTTAAGTGTATATTTTGAAATTCACTTTGTGTATCTGTTTATTTAGAAGCATTCTTGTAAACATACACCCTTTGTAACTTGACTTTTGATTAAATTCCTTAAGAAACTAAGTTTAATTTATAGTCTCGAGCAAGTCGTCTTTGAGTTTGTAATTTAATATTCCTTGAGGAACTAAGTTTAATTTGTAGTCTCGAGAAATCAATGACAATTAATGTTTGAGTTTGTAATCTGATTGATTAGCGAATTAAGTTCTTGTAAGAAGGCGACTTATTGTGACAAGTGGACTGAATTACTTAGTTAAGAACGAAGTAGTATGAAAATAGTTATATATTTGTACCATTGTTGTTTTTGTGTTCGTTTCATAAAAAGTTGTCTGAAACCCAACTCAAATCCTCTCTTGTTTGTGTTTCTTGAACTTTGAAATAATTGGCGCCATCTAACTGCAGCCGAAGCCTCGACTAGATCTCCTAGATAATAGTGGTTGGATTTCAACTACACAGTGAGTCATTGCATTCCAACCTCATACCTCATAGTCGATACAATCAAAAGGTTTTTTGAGTCCAACTTAAGAATGTGGATAAACCTATGTATAGAAAAACTCTATCTTGAATGAGTGACCATATTGATATTTCTGTTAAGAGGTTGCAAGACTACAAAGATGAAAGTGTTACACCACGAGCCATAAATTCCTCGCATCATAATGAGAATCGTATGGCTTAGCTGAAGTTTGTTGTTCCTGCTCCTAGACCACAAGCCACATATGAGGTCTCTGGCCTTCAGGATCCTAATCAATCTCTTTCACAACACTTTGATCTAAGGGAGACATGGTAGCCTATAACTGATGTAGAGTTTAGCAAATGGAGTAACTATACAAAGCTTCAAAGGATATGAATTAGAGGTTTTTTCCACAACCATGTGAAAAGTGAACTGTCGGTAAAAAGCTTCATTGCATTGCATTACAAAACAGAACAGAATCACTACAACAATGATCATGAAAACAAAACATAAAAAAGAACAACCTTAAAGAAAAACATTGTACTCCTCTGCCCCAAAGATTATCATAATTTAAAACAAGGTTTCAATATCAAGCAACCTTAACCTCAATAGTCTTAGGTTTCTTAGGTTGAGGCGGAGGAAACTTCTCAACAGTAACACTCAGCACCCCATCTTGACACACAGCGGAAATAGCATCAGTATTAGCATTCTCAGGAAGCACAAACTTTCGCATAAATTTCCCAACCCTTCGCTCCATTTTCAAATACTTTGCACCTTCTTTTTCTTCTTCCCTCTTCCTCTCACCCGTTATAACAAGCACGTTATTGTCTTCCACCTGAACCTTTATGTCACCAGATTTCAACCCTGGCATGTCGATCACAAACACGTATGAATTCGGATATTCCTTCACATCTGCCGGAGTTGCAGCCATCGCCTTCGTGTCTCTCACGTAGGATCTTGTAGGAGCATTGTGCGATGATGACTTGTCGGAAGAATTGTCGTCTGAAAGATCCATCAATTGGTGCAGAGCATGCAATACTGGAGCATCCAAACCCATCAACCTGAAATCCATTATAGTTATTTCTCTGATGAAGTGATATTCGATCTCTGATTTTTCTGAAAGCGTTGATAAATTGTTGTGTTGAAATAGAGATGGCGAATATTGGAGTATTTCAATGTAAGTGGAAGAAGAAGCCCGAAGGTTCTACATAAATGAACACCGATCTACTCTGTCATACAAACATTCTAGTACTTTCTTTTTTATAAACAAAGAAATATCAATAAGAACTGGACACGTGCCTTTTTAAATATTCCTTTCTAGTAGCTTCCTTAATCTTTTTGGCTCATTTTCTAAGTTAATTTTTGGCTATAATGTAATTTCGTGCTCATATTTTAATTTTCATGAAATTTTAAGAGATTAAAGCTATTGCACTGATAATATAAAATAATTTTATATTGTTATTTAATAGAGATTTATCAATCAATTATGTTACATAATTTTTTCTAAAATAATATTATGATTTGGAAAAATATATATTATGTGATTGGTTAACCGTGTAAAATTATTTTAAACTATAAATACATTTTTTTCTTTAAATTTTAATCTCTCAAATTTAACGTCACATGCTTTTAATAAGAGAAAATAGATTATATATTAAAAAAGTAGTAAAATTAAATGATATGTTGTTATTAGATGACAAATGCATCTCCTTTAAACTATTTTAATGATGTGACAGTGATATAATATTAATGAGTTTGATAAAAATGAAATAAAATTATCAATTAATATTTATGTTAAATATTTTATAATTAAATTATTTTAATATATTAATTATATATTTTATTAATAAAAAATATTAAAAATTAATAAATAAATATTCTTCATGTTGGCTATAATTAATAAATGGTTATTATTTGATTGTTTAAATTTGTATATTATGATTTTTTTCAACTGATTCACTTATTTATTTTTTAAATTAAAAAAATAATTATTTTTTTTCTAAAAATTATAAAAAATAATAGAATATCGTGCACATCATATATATTTCTCTATATAATAGTAGGATTAATAAGTATTTTACTCTCTGTCATATAGACGGGTTTTAAAAAAGATAAAACTTAGATACAAATCTTTAGACTAAAATGACAGGTAAAAAATACATATTAATCCAAAATAATATAATAATATTTAAAATACTAAATTATACTCAGATAAATAACAAGTATACATATTTTACAATTTTATTACAAATGGTACACAAACTTTGATAAATAACTAATAAATATAGGTATAATTAATCACAAAGTCTCTTAACTTAATTTAATATTTTGTTTTGATCACTTAACTAAAAAAAATGTTGCATAATAGTCCATTAAAAGTTGTTATGTTAGTCAAATTGATCTCTGCCGTTAATTTTTTCTGAAAAAAACGTTAACTTCGACTATGTGGCATGACAACTAGGCATTATGTAAAATAATGACTCAACAAATGTATTATAAACACATTCTAGAAATTAATCATCATCTTCCTTCCTTTGTAATATTTTGCTGTGTTTTTTCATCTTCTTTTTAGATTGATGGATTTTTTGTTCATCATTTTCACTCTTTAATTAATTTTCTAGGATTTTCATCTTGTTCTTGTTCAAAATTTGTCTCCAATATCAAAGAATTCGATAACTGTTTCAGTGTCCAACAATGAAAGATTTGGGACAGCTGGATATGTACTTCGTAGAAACAAGAGGATGAAGTGTTTTTGCCAAAATATATGTGTTCTTTGTACTGTGACTGATATGAACAATGTGAACTTTAGAGAAAAATTTGGGGTTGGAGAAATTATATAAATCACATAGGTAAGGGTTATAATTTCTTCAAGTGGTTATGTTATAAACTTGTTGATGAAATGGATTTAAAGATTGAAAGACAAAAAAATAAAATTGTAAAATTGAAGAATGAGGTTCTCCACACTAGAGGATGATTAAAAATGCCCATTGTGGTTGGGATCTTATGATTGTAGCAATGCATTTCAAATAGGATTAGGCTAAGCATTGTTAAGGGTTGAATGTTGAGTTTATTAATGTACTGTCATGAGAATTCTATGTAGCACTTTTGTTGGTTTAATGATTATTGTTATGAGAAATAATTTGTGTTCAGTATACTATACAATTATCACTGATACAAACAATGGTATAACACTGATACATAACACTGATATAAAAGAGCGGTAAAAAAATTGTGGTGTAACATACTTGTTTAGGGATCAAAGTTTAACGTACAATATAGTTAAAGGACTAATTTAAAACATGTGATACAATTAAGGGACTAATGTTAAATAAGTAATAAATTTAAGGGACCACCATGAAATATTTATTACATTAAAGGAACTAGAGTAAAACATATAATAGAGTTAACAGAATTAGATATCATAATTTCATATCATTTGGAACTGTGTTACATAACTGATATTCATATAGTTCAAAGTATGTACCATATAATTCCAACAGTATTCCATAATTACATATCAATATTCTAAAAGGCATTACATTCACATTCATTCCAAAAAGTCATTCAAAATGGCATTATAAGTTATATCATTCTCAAAGTCATTGCATTCCAAAATAGTACAACAAAACAACAAAAAATAAATGAGAGGCATAACTATGGTTGGTCATAACATGTTTTGGCCCTTTGTGAAGTATTATTTTCTTTTGGGGTGGTGGTTGAGTTAAAGATAGTGATTATGCTTCCTGATTGGGAGGTGCTGGTGTTGGATGAGTTGTGAGTGTAGATACACCTTAAAGTGTTGGATGAGTTATGTTGGCAAAGTTGTGGGAGCAGAGTCATCATGTATTGGATGAGTTATGTTAGGCTGACATGCTTCTTGGGTAGGTGGCATTCATTGTTTCCATGTGACCTTGTTGCGAACATCCATATGTCACTGACTGCATTTGATATCAGATTTTACTCGTTTCAGTTGTGACTCGTCTCTCACCATTTCTCTAGCCTCCTTGTTCCTTTTATTCTTGGGCCTACCAGGTTGTCTTTTATGGGTGGTAGTTGTAGATCAACAAAATCACTATCAGACTAAAGTGAATGCAGTTAATACAGACTAAAGTGAAACCACTAATAGAATTAAGGGACTAAAGTGATTAAAGTAATACCTGACACAAAACCTTTGGTCAACCTCTGGTAGCAACTCCTCAAGTGCTGGAAACAACCCCAACATTACAAATTAAAACAAATGAACTTATTAACACGTGTGAAATCATTAAACTAGATTAAGGTATTAACAAATATAAAATTAGTTTATGCACCTTTTGTTGATCACTTATGAATGTGTAAGTCTCGTATAATCTGACACCTCTCAAATCAGTTATAAAAAATTCTAGAAACCAGCTCATGAATCTTTGGTTTCACCCTTAACCACAGCAAATTCTATTGGCAACATTTGATCATTTGGATCCCTCCCAATAGATGCTAGTATTTTTCCACCATAATAGTCCTTTAAAAAACACCCATCCAATCTTATAATTGATTTTCACTTTAAAAATCTATCTTTTCCAGCTTTGAAGCATATATACTTCCTATGGAAGTAATGATTCAATGATCTCTCAGGAAGCTCACTACTTTCCTATCCACCTTGAAATGGTTGACTTGTAATTTTCATAGTTGATCCAGGACTTTCCCTTATCAGTTCATGTCCATAATCATGAATTCTTATATATTGATTCTAAACAAACCCTCGACAATATCAACTACAAGTGTATTTGCTCTACTTGCAAGTGCCTTTTTGATTCCTACATTCCACTTTTGATGTGTCTTCTCCATTATATTTGTCAACTTAAAATTTGGATTCTCTCATACATTGCTTTGAATCTTCTTGCCTAACTACTTAGAACTAAGGAACCTAACCTTATAATCCATACTACATATATGATTGTCCATTATTTTTCTCAATTTCCAAGTCTCTTCTCCTTGTATTTTTCATAGTATGACTCCCATGGACATCATGGCTTGCATATCACTCTCATCCTCTTATTATAATTTTCTTAAATTTCAAATTATTACTATAATGTATAGTATTTGTTATTGATCTTACCGGATCAGACTTGGACCATCACAGCTGGCTCGAACTGGATTTGAGTGAGATGGGGAGGGTATCTGCAAGACACTCCGATGCTAAAATGAGAGACGGAATGGGCAGGCAAAAAGTATGTAGGCGTGTAATAGATGAATATCTGACCCTCTTGGAACAGAGGGTATTTATAGCCCCCAGCACTGGGCCAAGGTCCCTTCATTGGGCCGACCAGAACTGGCCCAATAAAGGAACTGCCAGGTTCTACGTGTGTAGTGGGGACCCGCACGTGGTCCCCTTCTTGGGTGGTGCTCTGTGAAGAATGAGGAAGACGCGGTCTTTTCGGGGCTTTAAGAATCCCATGGCGTTCGGAGGGGACAAAATCTGCCCTACAGGGAGGATGCTCGAGGAAGACTCGAGCTAGAGTGTCCTTTGGTCGGGGACGCTACTCGTCGCGGGTAACAGCGGGCGTTGCCCCTATGTTCTACGGTCGGGCATGCTCGGGACGATCTGATAGTAAGCACTCCTCGAGGAACTTCCTGGATCTGGGCCTTTATCTGTACTTTGGGCCAAGGCGGGCCCAGTCCAGAACAGGAGCCCCCCAAGTCGTTGCTCCTGGTGCAGGAGTTATGACTTGATCTCAGCTTTCTTTTTCAGCAAGGACCTGATGCCCGACCCAGGACTTTGTCTTTCGAAGCATGCTCGAGGAACTTCTCGCGGGGATATGCGGGCTGCGTCCGTCGGATACGTGGCGCAGTCCTTGGGAATTGTAACACCGCACTAGCAAAAAGGGTGATCATTGCCTAGGGGAGTATGTGTCGAGGACGGGGGAAGTTCATGTCTCCCTGGTGCGACGTTTCACATTCCACGTCATCCATATAAATAGAAACCTTGGGCCCATAATCTGTTTTTCCCTTTCACGCTCCTCCTTCTTTCTCCGTTTTCCCCAGCCGCTGTTTCCGTAACGCTGTGAGACCGCCACACCGTTCTCCATTGATTAC